GCCTTTTTCAGTCTCGATAAATAATAAATTTATTCAAATTTTCGCCTCTTTTGGCATCTTCAGGGATAATCTGATTGTACATGTAATTCAAAATTTTAATCTGAAAAACATTTTATATTTCAGAGGATTTACATTAGACATTAGCCCATTTTTGAAACCTTAATAATCTTAAAAACATTATTCACCAATCAACAATATATATATATATAAATATAAAAAAACTTACTCGCTTTTTAGCAGTGTACACACATGCATACTTAGTCAAAGAACACAACCGAATGTGACCAATCCTTCAAGGGGAGAGGCGTTTGCAAACATTTGTATTACATGTAAAATCAGATTATGCCTGAAAATTTGGATACATTTGAAATAAACAACCATATTGCAAATTTTATCAGCTTTAATTTACTATGAACATTTTTGTAGATGCGATAGATAGTTTTCCAGATACAAGCGAAAACCCGAAGAAGTTGTACCTATTAATACCTTCTATGCGCCCCCCCCCCCATATCTGGCTCATCACCGAGGAATGGTATGTTGTTTTTTTTAGTATGTTTACCTCCTTGATAGTCATAAATTGAGTCTCCACCATTTTCTTCTATTATCATTCATTGACTGGACTATTAAGGCCCCATTTACATTATATAAACATAAAAATATAAAATAAGCATTATTTATTTATTTTTTTTTTATCGTTGCCTTTTCCCTGCTGGGGTAAGACAATACAACTAGGGTCATTGGCAACACCTTCAAAGTAAGCTCTATTTTAAAGTTTCATCGCTTTAAGGAATGCTAATAGTGTTTTAACTGATTTTTAACTTCCTTTTAAATTTTCTTTTATAGTTGGTGCCATATCCAAATTTTTCCTAATAGTTTTCAGTGTAGAGCAGTCTTGTATAATGTTTATTACTACACTGCAGCTCCCGCAGGTTGGATGATCAAGTTACTGTAGTTTTTGGCCTGGTATTTCATATATTCAATGGTTAGTAATTTACTTATCGATCCTTCATCACGGCTCAATTGGGAGTTTCAGTTGTCTCTATGAACACAAGAGCTTCTCTTATCACTACCACTTCACCTGCAGGGCATTAATAGCCAAAATAAGTATTAATAAAGAAGCTCATTTCTGATGATTTTTTTTTAAATTTGTTTATTTGGATATTATATTTAGGTTTAAAAAAAAATTATTTTTTTTATTTAATTTCTTTATTGAGTATTATAACAATCTGTCTGTTGGACATTGGTTATAGTGAAGTAGGATGACATTCACACTATAAAAAAAAAACAAAAAAAAAAAAACCGAAGAGGTTGAGCTTCTATGCGCCCCCCATATCTGGCTCATCACATAGGAATGGTATTTTGTTTTTTAGTATGTTTACCTCCTTAATATTTCAAACAATATCCCAAAGTATTGTTTCATCCAAAACTTATACCCCGTTGGAGTAGGACGGGGCATCCAACAGATATTGGTGCGATTTAAGCACAGAGTATTAGGTTTTAAAAAAAAATTAAAAAAATGTTTTACGACTTTTTTTTCTTCTACAGATTGACCTGGTTGATGTATACCAAGTATGAACATTTTAAATGATTTCACCATTATTCATTTCTTCATTACCTGTACTCTATAGCTGAAGTAATAAGTTATTATGTTTAAATAAAATGTTATCATAGAAAAAAAAAATGAAGTGGAAAAAAAGGTTTAAAAAAGATAAAAATTATTTTAAAACGCAAATTACAATATTAACTAATAAAATAATTCTTAATGAAATAAAAATAAAATAAAATAATTAAATAAATAAAATAAAATAATTCTTGAGAGTTGTGCCTTTTACATTAGACAATTAAACATAAGGGGAATACCAGCAAATACACCGGCGGCTTTAGAAACTGATGAAAAAATCCTACGCAAAATCATGTTTTCTCTCCGAAGAAGGAATTTTAAAAAATATCTAAACCTCTCACGCAGCACTCCCCACCTCTTTTTTTCCTCTTACCATTTTCTTTTTTTTTTTTTCCTTTTTCTCTTTTACCTAACGTGCGTACTTTAAATAAATAAAATTTATTAACAAAGAACAAATTCTAATCTTAAAGCGCATTTTACTTTTTTTTTTTTTTTAAATTTTATCCAATTCTTAATATTTATAACCAAAATATATAATAATATAGAATTTTAACTAACGGCGTTGATGGCCAACAGGTTCTACGCCTTTGCTACACAACCAACCAACCAATTCTTAATTAAATATTTTTGGATTTAAGTATTATTTAACATTTTGCCGATTATATGTAACAATTATAATAAAGTTACCTTTTTTCGGCGAAGATTCTGAGCTGGAAGTTGGAAGGGTTACTCCCGGTATAGAAGGTCCCTGCAGGGCTAGTCCAATCATATTCATCCCATTCACCGTACCTGTGCATTAAATCAATAAAATTAAAAAAAAAAAAATATTAAAAACACTTATTTTTTTGTACATATAGTGTGAATGTCATCCTACCTCACTATAAGCAATGTCCAAGAGACAGATTGTTATAATACTCAATAAAGAAATTAAAAAAAAAAAACACTTATTTTTTCTTTTTTTGCAAAACCTATCTTTATTGAGTAATATAACATGTTTTCACTATATAGGACCTTAGTATTATATATTGAGTAGCTCATTCCGAATATATGTGCAATTAATAAAAATTAATTTAAAAAAAAACTACATTAAAACAATAATGCTAAAAATAAATAAATATATATAAACAAAAAGCAACTTAAACTAATCAAGGTAATAATTTAAATACAGACTTTTTTTTAGTATAATGCGACTGCTGTACAGAGAGAGAGATAATTATATACAATATTTACAAGCATTCATTCAGGAGAACTCCGAGCCGAACTTTTCTCTCCACATGGGGATGGAAAAGTTGAACTCTGGGAGATCTCAGTGCTTCTCCCTCAGCCAAGTCACTGGTATTAATGAGCAATGTAGGCTAAACAGAAGCTCTATGAAATCACTTAATTAAAATTAAATCAATAACATTAAATCTTTATCTAAGACAATTATATAAATTTTATTATCTCTATTATTGATTGGCTTGGGGTAACTCTCCTAATAAAAAAATAATAAATATATTGTCACTACAGTGATTATTTAAATTTGTAATATTTCTTTTAAATCCTCCGAAACATCTTAGTCCGTGGAACAGACACCTTTTTATCAAACTTTTATCTTCCTGAAACTTCGTAAACAGCTTCATCTCATCGTAACCAATTAATATTTTATTGACAGAAATTCTCTGGATTGGGCGGGTTTTAATCTGGAGATCTAAAAACTCATAAATACTCATTTGCTTTCCACTTGAATCGTAAGATAATTTTATCACAAGATCAAGAAAAGGCTGGCCTACCAAAATATTGGACCGTTTGGCTTGACCTATACTCCCAAAATTTCGAAAAAAAAACGAGGTTATATATGCCAAACGGCCGTTATATATTTTTGTAGGCCACATTTCCCCCCCATTTTGTGATCAAATTATTATATGATCCAACTGGAAAGCAAATAGGTATTTACGAGTTTTTGTTACCTAATTAAATAACCAAAGTTTGCCAATCTCCAGAACGTCTCAATTACAAGAGTTTTCGCAAATTAAATATTTGTAGATCACGATAAGATAGATGAAGCAATTCACGAAGTTTCAGGTGTATGTTAAGAATTTGATAAAAAGGAGTCTGTACCATGGACTATCTATTAATTTTCCAATAATATTTTTAGAAAATGTAATTATTTTTTAGAAATGTTCTGTCTCAATTATTGGGGAAGAAGCGGGAGACCATAATATATATCTATACTTTTTTTAGCGGACAGTTTTTATATAACGCATCAAGTTTTAAATAAGCACTTACCAAACGCTCTCATAACGATGATGGTTTTGATTGACAAGTTTTTCCATAACGGAAAGCATTGAATTACTGAAGCTCATATTCTGAGAACATTAATTTTATTCATAACAACATATTTCAATTATATGTGTACTGGCAATTTGATTATGTAGTAGGGATTATAGATTTAGTCTTCGTTTTTAGTTATCATACAGAAATTGTTTACAAAATGTCTATTTAAGCTAAGTAGTCCTAGCTCAAGTTCTTAACATTGGCTCTCCTGAACAAACACGAAAATGTACATGGTGGTCTTTACCTCCGAAGTACAGATTTAGTAATTAAGTAATAAATTTTGATTGTTCAAAGTTATGTAACATTGGCACCCCTGAGCAAATACAAAAATGTACATGGTAGTCTTTACTTTCGGAGCACAGATTTAGTTACTAAGTAACAAATTCTGATTGTTCAAAGTTTTGTAACATTGGCACTCCTGAACAAGTACAAGAATGTACATGGTGGTCTTTAGCTCCGGAGTACAAATATAGTAACTATGTGACAAATTTTGATTGTTCAAAGTTTTGTAACAATGGCACTCCTGAACAAACACAAGAATGTACATGGTGGTCTTTAGCTCCGGAGTACAAATTTAGTAACTATGTGACAAATTTTGATTGTTCTAAGTAATGCAACATTGGCTCCCCTGAACAAATACAAAAGTGTACATGGTGGTCTTTGCCTCCGGGGTACAGATATTGTAATCGTTTAATTATATCACAGAAAAATATGGATCAGGACATGGAAAAATATATATATATATATATTACTCTATTTTAGGGAGGATTCAGCCCGAAATCCCACCCAATGGTGATCCCTGTTATACAAGTATAACGTAGATTGGGTCAGGCGGTTACCTAAAAATAATGTTCGCAAGCACATGGCTAGGAATTCCGAGTTTATGGTATTTGAGACTCTTGACGCTTTTTTTTAGCATCTTCCAACAAAATTCTAACGGATACTCTTCTTTTCTTTTTTTAATTAAGTTCTCATTCATTATTTCACCTACAAAAATATATTAATTGAAAAATACTAAATATTATATGCTCTACTCTTGCTAAGTTTCTGATACTTACCTAACTTAGGGGCCGGGAAGGCCTCTTTGAATATGGGATGCGGGTGGTGCTTGATGGCGTTGACTCGCCTGTTGGCCACCGCCACTTGGTTGTTTACTTCCCCTCGTTTCGGCCGCGGCTGTTCCACAGGCAGTACTCTTCGTCTTCGCTTCGGAAGTTTGGACCGGGCCTGAAGGTATATTGTATCAATAATTATAGGTTAATATATTATATAGTAGGCTGCACATAACATATTATAATATATAGCAATACGTAGACTATTTAGAATATATAGGCAAACTTTGTAATAAATTTAGTAATAGGTGGCTTGGGTTTCTTTAAAAGTGGACATTATTAAAAATAATTTTAGGATAACTCTCTCGAAACAAAAACTGTTTAACTTACCCATAAAACTGTAAACACAAGGAACCTGTCTCTCCTAGGATAAGAATGAATTGAAATTTACTATGGTATAACTCATTGTAATTTACAAAAAGCAAATTTGCTCAATTTAGGACGTCTCTTGGTCATCTTCTTTTCAGACGCCTCGGAGGGTTGTAAGGACATATTTGGAATGAAAGGCTATGAGCTAAAAGGTTAGGGTGACCAAGAGGTTTGGAATTAAGACTGGAATGTCTGTGTTAGGCTAAATCTGCAATGGATGGAATATTGAGATATTTAAGTATAATTTCATTTGTGACATAATACGGAGAATTAAGGATAATAAGAAGGATTTTATGGATTGAATACGGGAAGAATTAGATGGTTGTGTGGAGCCCCAAAGCTCAATTACATTTTTCCAAATTGGTCTGATTATGGTAGTTTATATGAGTTTTTTTTTTTTGGAATATTCGAAGTCTAGAGCGTTTTGTCGTTTCAATTTCAGTCTAGTTCGGTTCAGTTTGTTTCAGTTTCTTGTCGTTTCGCTCTTATACGAGGATTACATATAAGGGGCTTATCAAGCCTTTGGTAGCAGATCTGCTCGACAGGAATAAGTATAATATTCTTATAATTATAATGCCTAAGGATACGATATGGCATGGTTTAGTAAGTAAATGTGGGCTACGGTAAATAGGACGGAGGGTAAATATTGTTTGATGAAATTTAACATTTACTTAAATTGAACTGACATTCGACAGAGTCTGGTACCCGGGACTACTGTACAAACTCAGTACATACCTACCCCCTAGATACTTCCTCATTACGTTGATAGATACTTCAAAGTAAATCAAAATAACTTTTGTTCATCGCTCTTTGCTCAGTCTGCAGGTGTTCTTCAAGGTAGTATTCTTGGCCCCATCCTCTACACAGTTTATAAAAGCGACATCCCAACCCACCCTGAAACTTTCATCACCACGTAGGCCGATGCCACATGATTGGTATTTGTTGATAATGACCTTTCAATTGCATCCCAAACTTTCCAATTAAATATCACAAACCATGGAGAATGGTGTCAAAATTGGAGAATAAAAATAAATCACATCAAATCACCTTTACCCTCCGTCGTAAACCTATGAGTTATTGTCCTACAGTAATCCTCCGTAATATTCCACTTATTCTTGTTGAACAAATTGGACTACAATTGAACAAACATCTTACTTGGAATCCGCATGCAAGACTGAAACGACTAGAAACTGCTTGACGTTTCCGACTGCTCCAACGCTTACTAGACAAACGCTCAAAACATTCAATACATTACAATTATTCATCAGATCTATATCGATACACGGAGTTGAGCTTTGGGTTCCTACAAAACCATCGAATTCCTGTTATAGTCAATCCTTACAATCCAAAACCATTCGTCAAATTCTCAATGCCCTATATTTTCTCACAAATAAAACCATTCATAAAAAACTTGATGTTGTATAATGTCTTTGATTTAGCCAAAACCAGATATCTATCCTTTCATGATAAACTCCAGTTCCACCAGAATCCATTTGTTTTCTATAACAAACTTTCCCGATTCCTGATAATCCTTGGCCTCTGAAAAGAAGATGGCCTCGTGATCTTCTCACCTAGAATTATTTAGGGAGTGCTACCATTGGGTAGTACCTCGGCAAGTCTGTTAACGTCATTATTTTTAATTTGTACATATTTACTGTTTGTATTTATATAATACAGTTGTAAATTAAAAAAAAAAAATTGTCTGGATCCGTTCCAGTTTTAGATACTACGTACAGAATATTTAATCCACTCTGCTAAATGCTGTTACTACGTCGAGAGGACTCCATTAATTGTTGTTGTAATCGTGTAATCCAACCCGGATTATATTCAATGGCCATTTAAGGCTGAGGCTAGACGAGGTGGATTATTAGCGATGGAAGTAGTGCTTGGGTTAAGGGCATTGAGGGTTTGTGTTGTTGGGTGATTTAAAATGTAAATTTTGATGTCTGGTATATCATTAAATCAAATTTAAATAAAACGAAATTTATTTACATATACTTTTACTATTTATACAGTTTGATGAGAAGAATTTTTGAAAGAGATAATCAGATCTCAGTGAATTGTTTGTTTTAAAAATAATATCCATGTGTTATAATTCTAATTGTATTCATCCGATTTTTTTATTACTTTTGCAATTTAATTTAAAATATCTCATCTCCAGGTTTTTACTATGTCCATGTTCAGAACTTATGGTATATTACTTATATTTTTAAATTTAATTACTTAACATTTAATAATATTTCTCATTTAAACATTAAATAACTATTTTTATTTCAACAGATACATGAAATATTTAATTGATTCTCCATAAATGGAAGAATTTGATTGGTCTCTTGACCAGTAAAAGGCAGAAGATCTCCCTCTTTATTGGTTTCACCTGAATTAGGAATGAATTTATTACTATGAATTAAGAATTTATTTATATATTTTATTTTTTGAATATATATATTTCTAAATTTAATTAAATTTTATTACATTAAGTCACAAATAAGGACATTAGTAACAGTGGCAAAAGAGTTCATTCACACCATATTGACAATAAGTAAAAATATATTAAATGGAATACCAGCAAAATAATCATATTAAAAAAAAGAATTACTACCAGTTTGCTGGTATTCCTGAAGGTAGTATCCTAGGTCTTATCCTTTACACAGTATATACAGCTGACATCCCAACCCATCCCAAAACTATCATTACCACATATGTTGATGACACATGTATCCTATCAGTTAATAACGATCAATCAATTGCATCCAAAACTCTTCAATCACTTATCACAAATCTTGATGAATGGTGTCAAATATGAGAATTAAAATAAACTGGATAATTAAAATACATCCCATCAAATTACCTTCACTCTGCGATGTAAACCTATGACTTCCTGTCCTACAGTATCCTTTAAAAATTTCCCACTTATCCCTGTTGAACTGATCCGATACCTAGGACTCCATCTGGACAAACAACTCACTTGGAATCATCATACAAATCTGAAACGACAAGAAACTGCTCGATGTTTTTGACTACTCCAGCGCTTACTAGACAAACGCTCTAAACATTCTATATATCACAAAAGACTCATATACATGACTATAATAAAGCCAAACTGGACTTACGCAATTGAACATTGGGCCTCCACAAACTATCGAATTCTTCTCCCATCCTATCCTTACAATCCAAAATCCTCAATGTTTTTTACTTTCACAAATAAAATCATTTATAACGACCTTAATGTACCACATGTTTCCGATTTAGCCCAACCCACTCGTTACAAATCTTCCTCTTCGATACCTGATAACCCTCCAAGGCGTCTGAAAAGAAGATGGCCTAGCGATCTACTTATGTTAATATATTATTAGAGTGTTACCAATGGGTAGTTTTTCAACAAGTGTTTTCATGTGACTGTATTATTACCGTGTACACATTTACTGGACGTATTTTTAAATTTATACAATTGTAAATTTCTTGAATAAATAAAAAAATGAAAAAAAAAAGAAATAAGAACATAAATAAACAAAAACATATTTGAACTAATTAAAATAACAACTTCACTATTGGAATACTTATATACAAAATTTACAAATTCATCTAGGAGAATTCCGCTTCAGGCCTATCTCTATACCTGTGGATGGAAAAGTAAGACTCTAGGAGATTCCAGTGCTTCTATCTCAACCGAGTCGAGAGAACCGAGTGGCATTAATGGATGAAAGGTTCTAAATATTATTAATTTTATATTGTCCTCAAAGTAAGCAGTAGGGCCAAGGTAAGATTAACCTATGATTTTATGAAGAACAGAACTGGACGTAGTTTAGCGGCTCAGAAGTCCCCTTTAGATAGTTTTAAAAAAACACAAAATCAGTTTGTATTTGAAGGAAATTTTATCTTGTTTACAAAGAAGGCTTTTGGTAATTACCTAAATTAAATATTTGTAGGGTGTATAAAAAAACATGATTGTTTCCCAACCAAATGATTGTATTATTATTTCTTTGATATAAAATTCAATCAATACTCAAAGTGTAGTCCATTGTTATCTACCGTCAGTAGCCAATTGCTCGATCCCACGCTGATACCATTCTTTGGGATGGCTGTCAAATAATTCTTGAACCGCAATTTCAAATTCCGCAAAATTATAAATTTTTTTCCCTTGAAGAAAATGGGCTATGGATCTAAACAAGTAATAATCCGATGGTACAATGTTTGGACTATATGGTGGATGAAGTTTTTTAAACTTTTCTTTAGTTCGAAGGGGAGTGTGAGGACGAGCATTATCTTTTTGGAATAAAATTTCTTTTTTGTTGATCAAAGCAGGATAACGCTCTGACAAGTTCGAGTACAATCTTTCCAGTTGTTCACAGTAGAGTTCATAATTCATAGGACCTCCATCAGAAACAAATTTTTGATGAATAACACTTTCAAAATTACAAAAAAAAAACACAAAGCATGGATTTTTTTTAAAAATTACCACCTTGTAACAACCGGAAAATCAGTTTGACCGCGATCTAACCATTGCTCACGGGTATTCGGATTTTGCCAGTAAACCCACTTTTCATCACATATGAAAATCTTCCGGTAAAATCTCCTATCAGAAGGCTTTCCCAATAAATGTTGACAAATTTCTAACCTCTTAGCTGATTGCTGAGGAGTAAGTTCGTGAGGGACCAGTCTACTGCTCTTTTCAGTCTACTATTAGGGGTGGGAGAGAAAACGCCAAACGTTAGAAAAAAACAGTTCTTGATCTCAAACGAATGA